GCGTCAAAAATCAGATGGGCTGGACACGTAATGCGATTTGGAGATGACCGCTGGACTAGAGCTGTTACCAACTGGATTACATGGAACGTCAAAAGATCACATGACCGTCCACCTATGAGACGGTCAGACTTCTTCGTCAAGACCTGGAATGAATGGTTTGAGGCTCTTTGTGTTCCTGGAGTGAGCAGACACCACTGGGCTACACTAGCACATGACAAAGACGAATGGAGACGGTACTGGCACCCACTCGAGCAAATCAATTAGCAATGGGATGTCAAGTGATCAAGTGAAGTGATCAAGTTATTGAAGAATGCTCTTTAGTAACACCATTGGGACCCAGTTTCTTCTATATCCCAAACTCGTGGCTTCCAGAGTCGTCCCTGGCAGGAAGAAGGCAGCCGGATGTGCCTCTACTCACATGGACAGGTGTATGGAATTTACTTTCAATCCAGGTTATTCATTTTTCTGTTCTAGTTTCCTCTCACTATCAAGATGATTCAAATATGAGCAAACCCATGACAATTAGCTCTAGAAACTTGTGTGTTAGCTGACGACAGCAAAATGTGTCAGTGCTGGTCACATGAATGAATGGCCACCAACGGTGGGAGAATGTTTCTGTTTGAGGTATTTTGGCTTTTGGTTGACTTACTGGTTTTTAGGACACATCTGGCAGTGCTCCAGGGTTACTCCTGGGCCTGCACTCAGGAATTACTCCTGGAGGTGCTTGGGGAACCATATGGGAATCAAACTTGGGTTGGCCACGTTCAAGGCAAGAGCCCTACCACAGTACTATCATTACAGCCCCTGGGAGACTGTTTCTGGAAACAGATTTGTATGTTGTTCCAGGTACTAAATTCAGGGATTCATGCATAATTTTTTATCATTGAGATATTCCCATCTCAGGAAATGTGAGACACATTTTTTCCATCTCAGGAATGGGATCGCATTTTTTGAGATGCTGCTGCTGTGTCCCAAGGTGGTACTATGTTTTTTTTCAAATTCCCCAAAGTTATAAATAGGCCTGCCCTGACTCCCCTTCTATATGTCATCTGGCTCTTGATGGTCCTCCCAGGCTGAAGCATGGACAGGCAATCTTTATAATATCAAAGAGCTTACTCCGTTCATGGATTGCCCATTGATTTCTATTCCTTTTTCCTGAGTTCTTTCCTCAAACGTGCCTCCAGTCCCTGAATGACTATGACATTAACATTCTTTTATTTCCTTGTGGTGAGCATAACTGGAAATGAGATCCATTTATTATTTATCACGTGGATGCCCACCTATAAGATGGTCAGACTTCTTCGTCAAGACCCTAAATGATCGGTTTGAGGCTCTTACATGTTCCTAAAACGAACAGATACCATTGGGCTACGCTAGCACGCAACCGGGATGAATGGAGACGTTACTGGCACCCGCTCGAATAAATCGATGAATAACGGGGATTAAGTGATTAAGTGATTAAGTGAGCATAACACTGTGTCTCACACAAGTTCTGTCAGCCATTTTGGGCCACGTCATCTCACGTGGAACAAATCAAATTACAGAAAGATAGGCCACAAAGAAGTAAACAACACCCACCAGAACTCACTTCACCGAAATTGCAGCTCCACACTGTCCACCCCGGCCCAGCCCATCAGCCTCTATCTCCGGAATGACTGCAATCACCTCCGATAGATCTACCCCACCTCTGCCCATTCCCTGCCAGTTATTTTCCATAAGCAGCCCGAGTAATTCTTTAAAAACATCAGTAGGGGCCAGAGAGATAGTATAGTGGACTGGGCACTTACCTTGTACACGTCTGATCCGGGTTCGACCCCCGGCATGCCATATGGTCCCCTAAGCACCACCAAAAGTGAGCACAGAGCCAGGAATAACCCCTGAGCATTAGTGGGTGTGATCCTCAAACAAAAATATCATTCCTCTCTCAAAATCCTCCAATATCTTCACTCTCACTAAAAGTAAAACCTGAGGGGCCAGAGAGATAGTGCAGTGGGCAGGGTGCTTGCCTGGCATGTGGCCAACCTGGGTTTGATTCCCCTGCACCCCATAGGATCCCTGAGCACTGCCAGAAGTAATTCCTGAGCGAAAAGCCAGGAGCAAACCCTGATCACTGCTGGGTGTGGCAAAAAAAAATAAAGAGAAGAAAACAAAAAGTAGAACCTGACTCTATCTTCACTTTCTTAGTACTTTGCCCAAAAGTCACCTTAATTAAGTAAAGCTTCTCTGACTACCTCACCCCACCCTGGCTCATACTCCCAATGCCCCCTGTCCTACCATAGCCCATAGCACCTACCAGTTCATCATGTACTATATATTTATTGTGTGATGTAGGGGAGATTGTATGTTCCAAGAAGGCCACGCCTCAATTCCTCTCCCACATGCTTTTCCTACAGTGTGATGCTTTCTGCCGCTCCACCTGAGAGATGGTATCCCCACTCCTGAATCAAGGATGGGAATGATGCTAGGTGACTACAGAGGCCAGGTCAGTAAAACATCTGGCAGCTTCCACCTCTCTACCTGGTCTTCTGGGAGCACTCCAACCGGGAACTCAGGCACTGTAATCTGAGGGATCCTGGGGCCTCGAGGGAGAGGACTAGAATTGACTGTTCTGGCCACAAGTCTCAGCTGCAATTCAAATTAGATTCATCACCAACTCCCAGACATGTGAGGAAGCTCTTGAGACTATTTTTGCCCCAGTGATCACGTAGGAGTCTCCAAGAAAGGGCTGCATTGTTTCATCTTATCACCTTCGAGCCTCATGAGAAATACGGTACTCCCCACACACTACACACTGAACACTGCCTGGCCTAGAGTGATACATCTTGATTGGATGTACACAAGCCTGGTGCATTTTGGGTGTGCTTTTGAGTTGGCAAAAAGTACCTGGTGAAGTCGGCAGGGCTAACACTCATTGGCAGAGAGTTGAAGCCGGCACGTAGAAAGAACATGGAAAACCGTTTCAACAAAAGTATTTCAGAGGTTAATGATACAGTGAATTATAATAATAAATAGAGAAAGCAGGAAATAAGATGAAAACTTCTTGGAGAATTTGTCTTTTGGCGCTCAATTGCCTAGCCGACCCAGGGCTTTTACAGATTAGGTCTGGAAAGGCTTCAGAAGTACTTTCAGCAGCATTAGCGATTCTTTCACTTCAAATCCTGTAGTTCTTGGGGCTGGAGAGATAGTACAGTGGGCAGGGTATTTGTTTTGGATGTGCCTGGTCTGGGTTTGAACTGCACTGCCAAGAGTAATTCCCGAGTGCGGAGCCAGGAGTAACTCCTGAGCATCGCTGGGTGTGGATCCTAAGAAAGACTTAGTTGCAACCATTCTTAGTGCAATGACATGGGTGACTGTGCGTGTGTACATGCGTGGGCATATAGTCTGTGTGTCTGCGTGTACCGCACAGCACACCTACCCGTATGCAGGATACACCATTCGAAAAGCCAGTTCTGTGGGCCCGTTTTCAGCGCCTGGTAGTTTGCATGGATTGGATGTTAAGAATAGTTAAGAATATAACATGCATAGTTTGCATGTTAAGAAGGAGTAAATGAGGTCCACACTTCCCCAACTGTTCCCAGTCCTTTGATTTAGCATTTGGTCTGGAGCAAATATTTGTGTATTGCTTAAGAAGCAAAGACACTCTCAGATCCATGAGAAGATAGGAAAGTCCTTTCAAAGAGATAACAAAAGACAAGATGATTTCTTAGTCACTTGGAAAGAAGGTTACTTTTCGCTGGAGGAAAAATAACAGGTGGATGGTTACGAACGGATTAATTTCTTGGGGGCCAATCCGTCTTAACCTTGATTGCAGCCAAAGGTTTGTCCTACTTTGGACAAACTTGCAGGCTACCGAATGTAGCCTGCCCACAGGGCAGAGTCTGGCAAACTCCCCGTGGCGTCCCCAATATGCCAAATACCAGTAACAACGATGGGTCTCATTCTCCTCAAGAGCCTTGAATATAACCTCAGGGCAAATACCAGTAACAACGATGGGTCTCATTCTCCTCAAGAGCCTTGAATATAACCTCAGGGCTAGGATGAATGGAGCCGTTACTGGGGCCTGCTGGAGGCAATCGACGAATAACAGGATGATGAAATGAGAAAAATGAAATGGAGCCAAAGGGATGGTTGTGGAGCCTCTGGTTTCTTAAAAACCAAAGAAGTGAGCAGTGCATTACCTGGACAAGCAATTGTATGCATGGGCTCCTTTCTGGAATACAGGGGTGGGTGGAGGGGGGGGGTCCAGGACACACACACACACACACACACACACACACACACACACACAAAGGGTTTTTAAAGTTCTTAGGAGCACTGTCGCGGGGCTCGATGGCAGAATGCCTCTTGGGGAAGAGAGTGCCATCTTGTTGCCTTTGTTCCACCGACAGTCGGTGGTGCCACTGGGTCTCACCATCTGTGGATGAGGCCCCCCCCCCTCCCCCCAAGATGCAAACCCTGCATGAAGAGTGGGGAGCGCCCCCCACCTCCCCGCCAAGCCCGGGCGGGCACGTGGGAGGGGGGAGCTCCCCCCTGCAAACCCCACTCCCCCCCGTCGCCCCTCGCCCCGCCCGGGAGGCCAGCCCTGCTCTCCCTCCTCCCGGGCTGCAGAAGCGCCTTATTTATCGACTCCTTGCCGGCGCAGCCAAACTTGACGGGGGGGAACGAGGCCCGGTCCGGGGTTAGGCTGCGCGCGCGTGACGCGCCGGCGCCCGGGCCAATGGGCGCGCGCCGGGGAGGGGGCGGGCGGAAGTGACGCGCCGGATCCCTCCGCGGGGCGCGCCGGCCGGTGGGGGGAGCCGCGTCTCTCTCCGCCGCGCCAGCTCCCGCGCGCGCCGAGCCGCATTCCCGGGCCCCCCCGCCCCCTCCCTCGGGGCGCCCCCGCCCCCCCGGGAGAACCGGCCCGCCCCGGCCCCCCGGCGCCCGCCCAGAGGCGCGCCGCACGCACGCACGCACGCACGCACGCCGCCTCGGCTCCGCGGCCCCCGGCCCCGCGCCCGCCCCTGCGCCCACCCCCTCGCCGGCGGCGGCGGCGGCGGGTGCGAGGCCCCTTTAAGGCGCCGGCGCCGGGTCAGAGCAGCGGCGGCGGCGGCGACGACCACGGGAGGTGAGTGAGGCGCGGGCGGGCGGGCGGGCGGGCGCGTCCGTCTCCCCCCACCTCAAGCCCACCCCCACCCCGCCCCCGCCCCGGGTTCCGTTATCTCCGCGGGCGCCGGCGGCGCGGCCAGACAATGAGAGGGGGATGGGGCGGGCGTGGGGGCGGCGGGTGGGCGCGGGGGCGCGCGCGCGCGCGCACGTCAGGGGCCGCCGCGGGCCCGGCCTGAGGCGCCGCCGCCGCCGCCGCCCCCGCCGCGCGCGCGCCCGCGCCCGCGCGCTCCCCGCCCCCACCGCGCGGGAGCGAGCGCCGCGCGCGCCCCCGCGCGTCCCCGCGGCGTGATTTGTGGCCCGGGACCGGGCGCCACACGGGCCGCCGTCGCCGGAGGATCCTGTCGCGGTGGGCGCCATGTTCCTCCCGGGACTATTTTGTGCGCGCGCGGGAGTCCCGGGCCGTCCCCGTCCCCGTCCCCGTCCCCGTCCCCGTCCCCGTCCCCGTCCCCGTCCGCCCTGCACCGCCGCCGCGTGCGCGCGCGCTTGCTTGCTAGCTTGCTTGCTTGCGCGGGAGTGTGTGTCCCCTCCCCCCATCTGCAGGTGGGACGGCGGGAAGGGGAGTCGAGTCGGGGTCCCCGAACCGGGTGGGGAGCACCGAGCATCATCTTGGGGTCATGATGCTCGGGAGTCGCGGCCCCTGGGACTTGGCGGCGGGCTGCACCTGCAGGGCCACCCCAGCTGCAGAAGAAGTGAGTGGCAAGTTGGTGGCCGGCCCCAAACCAAAGGGACCCGGCGACCGCCGCCGCCCTCGGGGTGGGCAGGGTTCGTGCACCGCAGGGACCGCAGCCGAGGACGGGGGAGTGGTCCCCGGCTGGCCCGCCGACCTCCCCGGCTTGCCCCGGACCCTTCCCGGGCGCTGGGCGACCGGAGCTCCCGAAGTGATGGTGCTCGGACACTCCTCTCCGCCAAGGCCCGCCTGAGCCGTAGGCCCAGACAGAGCACCCGTGTTGCACCCGGTGGCCAGAGTCAAGATTGGACCAGTGGCCTGGCCCGTTACCTCCCACTGCGCTGCAGAGCTTTCTAAGAAGTCCCCGTTTTTCGAAGAGTACTCGAGAAGCGATGAGAACGGTTGACTTAAGGGAAGCTGCGGCAATAGTCCAGTGGGTAGTGGCTTGCCTTGCACGCAGCCGACCTGGGTTCCATTCCTGGCCTCCCGTTATGGTCCCCAGAGCACCGCTATTACCAGGAGTAATTCCTGAGTGCAGAGCCTGGAGCGCTGAGCATCCGGGTGTGACCCCCCCCCCAACCAAGAAAAAAAGATATTTAGAAATAAAGATCACTCGATACCCCGTTACTCATCAATTTATTCCAGCCGGTGCTAGTAACGTCTCCATTCATCCCTGTTGCGTGCTAGCGTAGCCCAGTGGTATCTGCTCGTTCTAGGAATATGCAGAGCCTCAAACCGATCATTTAGGGTCTTGAGGAAGAAGTCTGACCATCTAGTAGGTGGGCGTCCACGCGATCTTTTGACATCCCGTGGAATCCGGTCAGTAATGGCTCTCGTCCAGCGGTCGTCTCTAAACCTTATTACGTGTCCAGCCCATCTGATTTTCGATGCCTTGGCAAATGAGACAGTTTCCCTGATTCTTGAGCGTTGACGGAGATCGGAACTCCGGATTCTTTCTCTCGTTTGAGTGAAGCGTGATACTCCAAGCATAGCTCTTTCGATTCCTCTTTGAGAGACCCGAATAGCGTTCTCATCCTGTAAAATAAAGATATTTAAAAAAAAAAAACTCAGTTGAGGGTAAGCCGGTAAAGTGTTTGTCTTCCATGCGATCAATTCCAGGTTCGACCCCGGCACCCCTTCTGGTCCCCTGAGCCCCGCGCGGTGTGGCCCCCAAACCGAAAAAAAAAAAAACTCCAGCTTTTTGAGCATATGTCATTGTAGTTTTAAAAGAATCTGTGACCAAGTGGAAAGTAAATACAAAGTTCTTACCTGCCTACCAAGGTGTTATTGGTGTCAAGTGCGGGTGAGATTTTTCTGAGTTGCTTGTTTTTACAGAACATTCTTATTTGAACAACTGACAAAAGTCTAGTTTTTCACACTTGTGTGTTTCACAGATGTTTTCTTCAAAAGTGAGCTTTTCGCATTAAAGCAAGTGATTGTTGAGAGGCGGGGCCGTCAGCGGGGAGGGCTCTTGTGTGCTCACTGCACCCGGGATCCATCCCCTGCTACTCCAGCACCGCCAGAAGTAACCCCCGGCATCTCCTGGTGTGGTCCAGAAACAACAACCCAAAAAGTAATTAAAGATTTTTATTATCTTTAATCATGATTTATGAAGTTGATCGTTGAATTTTAGGATTATCATACTTCAACACCAATTCCACCACCAGTGTCAATTCACCAGTGTTCACATATTTAATCGCCTCCCCCCCAAAAAAAAAGAATTTTTAAAATTTGACAGCTTCCCAGTCTTTCATTAGTGCTAGTGATGGACATGTTTATATTGTCTGATGAAAACATACCTTGTGGTCATCAGTATTTCTAGGTCCCTCGCCTAGACCAAAAGTTAAGAAGACTGAAAATGTCCATCCCCTGGCTCTGGGGAAAAAAAGAGAAAAAGATTTCAGAATCACTGGTGGTCTTCTGAGAATCAAAGTTGTATCCATCTAAAAGTTTCTGGTGACTTTACAAATGTTACTCACTTCAGCATTCATGATTGAGGCTAATGGGAGCTGCGGTGGGTTGGAGGAAGAGTTTACAGCAGAAAAACTTGGCTTGAGTTCTGGCAGGGATATTTACTGACTTTGGGACCAGTTCCCGTATTTCGCTGCCTAATTGTAGTTCCTTGTTTCTGAGTAATACTGACACACACAGAAGACTTTATATCACGGTCCCGTCCTACCTTTTTGCGAGAGTTTGGCAGAAAATCTGCCCGGCTTATCCATCACTTAATCTTGTTTAACTTCCAGTTTGACCTCATGTAAAATGTGTTATTTAGAAGCTATAATTTGTGAGACTTCATCGAGATAAGAATATAGCACATTATAGTGGTTAGCCATATGACAATAAAACAAAATGCATTTTAGATGATGTCTTAATTTTTTTTCCCCTTACATGTTCTTTTTATTAACAGTGTTGAACTTAGAGATTTCAATGCAAACTGGAGCACGGGGACCCCGGCGCACTGGCCTCACGTGGTCTCCCAGGCACCAGTGGGTGGGGCAAACGAAATTATAAGCCCAGGGTTAGTGGATGTCTTTGTCATGATATCAGCATTATAAGCTTTGGTAGTTGACTTTGTGACATAGAACCATGACCACAGAAACTTATTTTCACATGTGAGGGGAGCATAGAGAGAGGAAATTAAATTGAAGTATCGCTAATATTTAGTGGGGTTAAGCTAAAAAGTACGAATGAATTTAGACAATGTTGTCAGTGAAAAAGCTTTTCATGGGAGAAGGACTGAAGAATTTTGACTTTTTTTTTTTAAAAAATGAGTTTAATGCTTTATTTTTTTAGTAAGCATATAACTAATATTTGAGTACTTGATAGTGTTTTTATTTGAATTTTGCTGGTAGCTAGGTGAACTGTTTGAGGAATATTAGATTTAGATTTTTAAATTTTTTGGGGGGGGTCACACCTGGCTCTGCACTCAGGAGTTACTCCTGGTGGTGCTCAGGGGACCATATGGGATGCTGGGAACCCGGGTCGGCTGCGTGCAAGGCAAACGCCCTACCCGCTGTGCTATCTCTCCAGCCCCAGATTTAGATTATTTTTACTTAAATCTAGTGTTGAAACACCTGGCTTTTGGCTGTGGGGTTGTGTATTTATTTCAGCACCAGGAAAACAACAGCAGACAACATTGTGACTCATTTAGGAGGTTCTACAACTGTCAGATTCTGTGACAAAGTGGACTATCCAAAAGACTAAAGTAGGTTTAACAATAATTTGTCTTATATCCATAGTAAAACTTGAGTCCTGTAAGTTTTCTGGAATTCACTTTGAAGCCAAAAATCTTGAACACACATATTCCTGTTTTGATGACTGTGATAGGGCTTTCCTCACCTGGAACAAGAGAGCATAGTATTATTCTGTTTTTTCCCTTGAAACATTTTTCCTGTTCCAGATTATGTTCTTATTTTGTTCGTGTGTTTTGTTCTATTTTGCTGGGGCCGAAGACCATCACCTCCCAAGTGGGAGACAGGTGCTGTACCTCTGAACGTCATTCCTGTCTATTCCAGATAGGTTCTCCTGTGTAACTCATACATTGATCCTTTCTATATCACGGTCACGGTCCTCCGTTGTTCATCGATTTGCTCGAGCGGGCCCAGTAACGTCTCCATTGGAGACTTGTTGTTACTGTGTTTGGCATATCGGGTATGTCATGGGTAGCTTGCCAGGCTCTGCCGTGCGGGCGAGACACTCTTGGTAGCTTGCCGGGCTCTCTGAGAGGGGCAGAGGAATCGAACCCGGCTCGGCTGGACTGGCTGCGTGCAAGGCAAATGCTCTACTGCTGTGCTATCACTCCAGCCCCAAGAAAACTTAAAATCATCCTTAAATAGCTTGCTAACGTGCCAGTTGTTCAAAAACATCATAGCTCTTCTATAAACTGGAACACAGTAATCACGTGTTGCGTTTCCTTCTCTTCTGCTCCTCAGCCTCACCCCCTCCTCACCCCCCGAGCACTTGATAATCACTCCTGGCAGGTCTCAGGGGACCTTATGGGCTGCTGGGGATGAACTAAGGTTGGCTGCATACAAGGCAAGCGCCATACCCGCTATACTTTCATTTTTCTGCTTTTTAAACATTCTGTGTGGTCTTCTGGCTTTGTGTATGTCTGTGAGTGATGACATTTTTAAAAAGACGTTCATATTATAGACTGCTATATTGGTTGCTTATTTCCTTAAATAAACACAATGGCCTATCTTGTGAATTTGTCTTTTTTTTTTTCACAGTGTTCTCGAACTAAATCTTAACCATCTTTTAGCCAGTTGCCTTCCCTCAACTACTGTTGT